CACAATTGATCTATGTATTGTGATGAATTGTATGAGCCCCAATAAATTGATTAAAAAAAAAAAAAAAGGAGCCCTGTGGTGTAGTGGTTACTCGTTGGGCTGTGATCCACATGGTTGGCAGTTCAAAGCCACCAGCAGCTCTGCTGGAGAACGACTGGGCTCTCTATTCCTGTGAATAGTTACGGTCTACAAAACCCACTGCTGTCTGTCCCTATGAGTCAGCATTGACTGGATGGCAACTTTTTTGTTTTTGTTTTTTCATTCTTTAAGGGAGCTCTGATGGTGTCAGGTAAGTGTTGGGCTACTCACTATAAAACCACCAGCTGCTACACAGGAGAAGCATGAGGCTGGCTGTGCTGTAAAGATTTACAGCCTTGGAAACTCTCTATAGAGTCTCTATGAATAATGTTCTTTAAACACATTTGAAATCACCTTTAGTTTTAACTTTGTAACTTTTATAAGGAGACAACCTCATTAATGCTGGAACATACAAATTATACATTGTTGGATATCCTCAAGCCAAGCTAACTAACAAGTAATGCACAACCATTAAATGAATTGACCTGTTTGAGTAAAGCACAATGAACTCCACATGTATTGAGTCCACACTAGCAAAAAGGTGACTCCCAGTTCATCAAGAAGGTAATAATTATAGAGACATAACACTGGTTAATAAAGCATCCATCCTTACAAATATTTATCAGCAGCAATGGATCTGCCGACACACCCACAGATGATCCTATTATCACGTTCAGAGGTTGCCTTATACTTGAGAACGAAAGGATTCTCACTTCTTCTCAGCCTGGTATATGATAGCACATGAAGTAAAAAGAAACTTCCTATCATTCAACATTACTGTTTGTTTTTCAAGAAAGCAATAATGCTTTTTTAACTTAAGTTCACTTGTTTGTAAGCTGTGAGTAAGCTTATTTACTGAAAGCATTGTTGATTTTACATTAATGTCATCAAAAACTACTTACATTTTATTGGCTATGCAAAGGCATTTAACTGTGTGGATCATAACAAACTCTGGATAACTTTTAGAAGAGTGGGTATTCCATAAGGAACGTGTCCATGGATCAAGAGACAGTTGTGTGAACAAAAGAAGGGAATTCCTCTTAGTAGTTTTTCTTCTATCCTTTGCCTATTCTGTGGTAGTCACATGCATCCCACCACTCAATCTCTTCTCTCATGCTGATCATTCAAAGGAAGCTGAACATGTACCTTACTCATCTTAGCTGCTCATGGAAGCAGAGCAGGTCACGGGTTCTCAAAAATGGTGGTAATGATTTCTTCCATAAGAATAAATACCCAAGGAATTGGAGATTGAAAAAGTCCCGCGTGTCCAAATCTTCCATGATACTATTCTGCTCCATTCCCCACTCCCTTCATGTTTCTGGGTTCTGTGAATCCCTGTAGTATCCCACACAAACTCACAAAGGTTTGAGGAAACGTCTCACATGGTGATGGGTGCTATTCAGCTCAAAATGCTAAGGTCAGACAGGAGTAAGCCAGATGCTGGGTCCAGGGGATGAGTTCCACTCTTGGCTCTTACCAGTGATGAGATCACACCCCCTGCTTCTCAGTGGACTCATTTTATAGTTAGCAGGATGGCATTGTAGGGAATCCTGTTCACAATTGTTCACAGGTGAATCCTCTTACCAGACCCTTGCGGAGAAAGGTCCTAGAGTAGGTGTTACATTGAATATCAATGGTGCAAACAGTTTAATATATAACCCTTCACCCAAATATAATAATCTATTCTGGAGAAGAATAATGATAGTACCATGGACTGCTAAAAGGATAGACTAATCTATCTTGGGTGAAGTATGGCCAGAGTGCTCCTTAGAGGCAAGGATGCCAAGACTTCATCTAACGTGCTTTGGACATTTTCAGGAGAGACTTGTCCCTAGAGAAGGACATCATGCTTGGTAAAGTGGAAGATCAGCAAAAAAGAGGAAGGCTCTCCCCTCAACGAGATGGATCGACACAGTGGCTGCATCAATGGGCTCAGATATAGGAACAATTGTGAGGATGGCACAGGACTGCGCAGTGTCTTGTTCTATTGCGCATAGGATTTAGGGTTGCTATGGATCAGAACTGACTCAATGGCACCTAACGACAACATTGTCCATCCCCGGACTGTATCTTATTTAGGCACATATGACCTGAGGTCTCTGGCAGGATGTTTCCAGTTGGCATTGACCTCCTATTGATCTTAGTCAACCAGGCTTCTTCCCAGGCCACTCCAAAAGTAGCTTTTCTCCTCAGCTGTGTCATATCATTCCTTACATCCATTACAAATAACAGTAACCAAGATAACCATTAAACAAAGGGTATGGTCTGATTCACACCCTTCACTAAAGGTACATCTTATCCCATAGTCTTCCTATTCTTTAGCAAATAATGCCCTCCAAAAAGGGATGACAATCATAGGCATATAAAATCCAGAATTATAATTTTTCACATAAGGGAATATGGCTAGAAAGGTCATATTAATTGAGTATAACTCAGTATTAAATTTAATATTTTATATATAATGTTAATAAAATTTTTTCAAATATTCATACAATTAAAAATTTTACATTTTAATTTTTTAGAATGTACTTTCTGAAAATGTCAGTTTTACATACATACTGCAGCCAGCTAGTAACTGCAAGATCAGTGGTTC